TTGATAACCACACATCATCCACATGTGTTTCATTATCAATACGCCATACATCTTCACCGACCATTTTGTGTGTAAAGCTTTGTTGAAGATCTCCCTCAAGCCTCCACCACTTTATCTTTGGCTCCACTTGTTGTTTAACTTGTCTTCTATGGTTCTTACCTCGAAAGTCAAGCACAAGCATCCTATGCTGAGTGACAACACTCTCACCTGGAATAACCTTACAATCAGTGTAGCTAGTTCTCCAAGTGGTCCGTACTAAGAAGTAGTCAATTTGGGTACTATTAGCTCCACTTTTATAGGTTACAAGGTGAGAGTCTCTTTTCTTAAACCAAGTGTTCATTATAGCCAACTCATACGTCAAGGCAAAATCCAAAATGTTCTTTCCTACCTCATTCCTAGTGCCAAAACCATGTCCGCCATGAATATTCTCAAAGCCATCACGACTCGAGCCCACATGCCCGTGGAGGTCACCTCCTATGATCAACTTCTCTCCTCTTGGCACTCGTCGCACCACGTCTTCAAGATCTTCCCAGAACGGTTGAGTTGTAGATGCATTCAATCCCACTTGTGGTGCATAGGCACTTACCACAGACACAATCTCACCTCTTATCACTAATTTAATGCTCATGATGCGATCACTCTTCCTGAAGACTTCTACCACATCCTCAACATAGTCACGCACCACAAATAATGTCCACCCCATTTCTAGTCTTATCTCTCCCTGAATACCACAACTTAAAACCTCCGGGATTAATCTCGCGTGCTTTCTCTCCAACCCATTTAGTTTCTTGCACACACATAATGCTGATATTCCTTCTGCTCATAACCTCGACTACCTCAGAAGATTTGTCTGTAAGAGACCCAACATTCCATGTCCCAAAACGCAATCTAGCATTCCACCTTCTGTTCTTAGCCCCATCTCGGACCCCACCATGCCCTTGCATATTTGACATCATCCCCGGGCAATGGGATGACGCGCCGCTTCTGGGCGGCGACCTAGCAACCTTAGCATTCTTATAACCACACCCAGGTCTATCAAGTGTAGCGCGCCCTTGCATATTTGACACCACCCCCAGGCGGAGGGATGACGCGTCACTTACGGGTGACGACCTAGCATTAGCGATATTCATATTTCGATTCATGTCATGTGATGTGACTAGGTGATACTGTTGGCCGTCACATGCCTACCACAGCACCCTCCTCCTTTATCCTGGCTTGGGACAGGCATGATACCAAAAAAATGATATCATGGTGGAGTTGTAATAATCAGATAAAATTACAAATTTACAGGGCCGTTTTTTAGCATGTTCGGTAATCTGGAACAGGGTCCACCAAAATTGGGGCCCATTTTTTAATGTTAGTATTATAATATAGTTATTTTTTTACTACTATAATATAATATTAATATGTAGTTATTTTAAATTGTGTCTTTTCTCTATATGAACACTTCAACACAATAAATTTTGTTGAACTATATGAGTTTGTTAATATATGTGATATTATTTTTATTCATATATGGGGCCTCAATTTTGAATTTGAAAACGGGGCCTCCAAATTCAGTAGACGGCCCTGCAAATTTATTACTGGATCTTGGAGACATCTCTTCTCTGTATGCTTCATATGACAATCAATCCGGGCACATCATTTATGATTTCAGGAAAATCATACTTTGGTATCTTACATGGTTGTACTCTCTAATATCAAGGCTGCTCTGCACATGTAAATCTTTTACTAGCATATGAGAAAATCTTCATTTCTTTTCTTTTAAAACCCATTTCAGTTTGAGATTTGAGTACCAATTATATCATATTTCTTTAAGACTTAAAATAGATTTATAATACTAAACTTAATTCTTTAAAACTCAAGCATCTCAAGATTATCTTTTCATCAAAAGAAAACGTCATTATGATTGTAAGCCCTCTTGAACCCGAACTATAACTTAACTGATTAGTATACCACAGTAGTCATGAAGCTAAACAGAGTTTGATTAATTGATTTTAAATTTTTCTTTTTAAAGTTGCAGCTTTAAACAGAACAACAATTTATAATAAAGTGACCATCCAACTACTCCAACCTTTGAACTCGTCTTGCTAATTGAGACTTGTACCTTCTCTGTCTCGAGCATAATCTTTTTGGGTAGGTCATGTTAAAGCACATATTCTAGGTCTCTCACCAGACAAAAATTATGTGGGTTAACAACAAACTTAATTTACTGCTTTGATTAATTTCAGAATCTCATGATATGCATTAAATAAAATTTGTTTTACAACAATTAACTTAACTTCACTACATCACATAAAGGTTTGAGCCAAGATATTATGTTCAACTAGTAGAAACTAGAAAGCGGTGCCAGAGTGAACTATCTCAAGTGTAGAGCTTCTCATTCATTTCATTTCATTACATGTTTTCTATAATGATTCAATGGCCCTATTCCTTTGATTGTTATAGCATTAAAAAATTACTCCGTCATAGTTAAATCTATCTCTTACCAAACTGTGTATTACTCGAGGTATAACTTTAAGTGAGACAAGAGATATATCAATATGTCAGCAAGGCAATTTCATTCTACCTTATAAGATGGAGTAGTTTTTTTTACAGAACCCATACTTCATTTTGTTAGCAGACTGCGCTACATATATATGTGTGCTCCTTAACATATCTAACTATAAATATCCTTCATTTTGTTAAGGAACTGCACTATACGTGTGTGAGACGAGTAAGAGCATAGACAGATAAAAATGCAAAGACTATACGGCCTTTCTAAAAGTAAGGTGGAAGAGAATTTTAACATCTCCTGCTTGCAAAAATAATATCCCTTCAATGAAAAGCACAAAATAAGAAAGAGAATTTTAGCTTACTTCAATAAAAGTAAGGTGGAAGAGAATTTTAACATCTCTCATACTTGAAGTGTGAGAAAGAGAATCAACGACAAAGAGTTCTTTACGAGTTGGAGTCTAACAAGTATACCCTTATTGGACTCTTGTAAGAAACTAAAAAGTTAAAGAAGAAAGAGAGCTATTTCAGAATACTTAACTCTTTCAAAGCTGACGGAGAGAAATGCTTTAAATCTTATGGCCATTTCGAAAAGAAAACTACAATACAAAAAATAAGTCTTTCTTGTTTCATACTTTCATATTTTGAACTTCCAACTCATTCTATTTTTCTCAATCCAAAGTCGCATAATAAGCCTTTTAGCGGTTGAAGCTTGATAATGAAAGAATAGTTTGTGGTGCTAGACTTTATTTAATATTCTCTATTTTCACAGAAACTTTTACTATTTTACTATTGAAAGAGCATAATAGTTCCCAGCACAAGCTCATTGGGCTAGCATCTACAAACACTCGTAATGAATATAAAAGAGCTTGATGGTACTGTGATTCTTATTCTATTAAAATCCTTGTACTATAGCTCTAACTGTATTGAAGCACACTTCACAAATCCCCATATCGAGTGCAATGTCTAATGAGACTCAAAGGCGCCAACCCGACAGATCAGGGGAGCGACCCACTAAACATATCGGACTCTCTGGAACTCTAAACTTTGATAACTCTGTGGGAACTTGTTCCCGAGTACATATCACTTAATCTTTCACTTTAAATATTAGTTCTTTTTTGATAGGATCATGATAAACTACTACTTTCTACTTGTTATGGTGACGTTTGATTAAAACATCTTTAAAAACTTAAACTGACGTAACTACATAATCTTAACTATGCCAAATAACAAGTGTATCACAAGCTCAACAAATAAGGCAACTTATCACATATTTCCACAAACATTTCAACTTATCATATAATTCCACGAACACCTTATGAGTACAATTAAAGCATCATAGTCTAAAGTTATCTATTTTAAAATCAACCAGACTTCTTTCCTGATAGAAGTTGAACTCAATTTACTTAAATAAGTATGGCATCTTGATAATGTCTTCCGGTAAGCTCTTCTTTTAAATCTTTAATTAATTTAACATTACAATTAAAAGTTAAAACACATTATACTATAACCAAAACTGAAACCCATTGTACTGTGAGCCAGAACTCTATAATTGAAACTGCCTTTCTGAAATATGCTGACCAAGTGATCAGTTCAATGGTCTATTGCAAGATTCCAAATAAAATTAAGTCTTCAAAATATGAAAATCCAGTTTTACACACACCCAAAAAATAAATTGTGGAACAATTAAACAACTAAATTCTCTTCACTTCAGCGCTCACACATAGATAGCAAGCAGCTGAACTGATACGAGGAAAGAAAATGCTAATCTGTCTATATGCCCATCATGAGCTGGTTAAAAGATTGTGATACAACACTGGAAGTGAGCAGGCATATCAACCAACGTAGGTCAAAGCGCACAAAGAAATCGCCAGCGCACTTGGAGGATCATATCATGCATTAACATCGTGGTGTTCTGTTATTTCCTATTCCGTATTTTTTAGGTTATGCACGTAGAGTATTTCATTGCATGCCCATGTAATTTAGTGATACTTAAGCTTTACTTGACATCATCTGGAACTATCAACTATCTGAAGTTATTCCAAAACTGTTTTTTCATTCTTAAACTCTCGCTGCTTTCTGGAGTATACCCTGACTCGAATAAGGGCCTTCTGATACAAGTATACAACAAGAGTGTATCAGATTGCTTTTCCCCTAAAAATGCCTTTATCCTGGCATGACTTTGGTAGAAGGCAAGACAATACACATTTGACTTGCTTCTGGAGAGAAGGTTAGCATCAGGGAAAAAATTAAAGCTAATTTAAGGGCTGCTCCATCGCTGACCAATTACTTGGTAAAAGAATTTGAAAAGATGATTCGATTTACAAGTGAACTTATAATTTCTTTACTACTCCGTATGTGCCAATCCCTCCGAAAATATCAGTTTGAAACCAGAAAAAACAAATTCGTTTAACTAAATCAAGGTTATTTTGCAAAACAGAATTCTCTATCCATACCTATGTGCACATTGCTACTAATTTAACTAACCAAAAAGATTGTATTGTTACCTGGAATAAGACCGGCTAAGATGGAGAATAGAAATCTGACGAACCAAAGCGGGAACGATGGAGAGGAAAGTTTTTCACGCCTCAAAAAACGACGAGCCGCTCCTAAAGTTAACTCATGCAGCAAGGGTTTATAGCTATCTTTTCTAGGGATAATGTGCGATCATTTCGAGTGGATATTCCGAATATTGGTTCTGGATCCGCCGTGGTAAAGACCGGGTTTTTGGATGATGAAGGGAACAGGCATGAAGTTATGGGATGGATGGATCGTTGGTGAGGATTAGTTAATCAGGAAGGAATCGGGATCGGTTGATGTTCATAGCACAACAGAAGGGAGGTGAATGTAGTCACTCGTCACCGACTCAAAGTAGCAATTAGTACTGAGCATTTAGGAGTTATAAGGAGTTCCAAACGAGATCAAATTTAAAGAGATCATATTATTTCAGATCAGATCTATATAGATCAGATCAGATCAAAACAGATGAGACTTCCATAGTTATAAATTACATAGAGATCGGACATTTATCAAACCAGATCAGACTAATTCAAATCAAACCAGAATACCAGATCTGATAAGACTTAAACAAATCAGACCAGACCAGCAAATTTAGGCCCTGATAGACTATAAGTCTAGAGAGAAAGGAGAGCTAGAGAGAGAAGTTCTATATTTGCTCTTTATTAATGAATTTGTGAACCCTTACAACTACTCCCAGATGGAGTATTTATAGGAAAAATTAGGGTTGGGCTCCCAAGTCTTGGGCTTGGGAGGCCCATTTACTATAGGGCCACTAATGGGCCGGATACAAAAGTGTAGAAATGATTAAGTATAAAACCCTATTCTGGAGCCCATCTGTGGCCGATGAGGGCACGACCGACGAGGGCACGGCCGACGAAGACCCGGCCGACGAGGTCACCCGGCTCTTACTGGCTTCTGGATCACGTTCTGAGTAGACTTCTTTCTGGCCGACGAGAGTCATCTAGCTGACGAGGGTCCCACCAGGTGGTCGTGATACCTTTTGTTCTTCTGAGTATGTGAGCTCTGGGGTCCAGACCCATATACTCCATCAGGCCCAAACAAAAACATTCTTAGTTATTGGATTTGATTTGGTTTATTCGGGAGATGATACGACAAATAAGAAAAGTATTTTACTCATTCGCTATAAATTGAGGAGTATACAATACATGAGTTCGTATACTGTACAATCGGCTGTACAGTCAGTGAGCATTTACAGTCGGTGGCATTTCAGTAATTTAAATGAAAATCACGGCTTTCGCTAAATAAGTATTAATGCACTTTTAGTAGTCTAATATTAAGCATCGTGATCACTATTTCATACTTTGTATCTTCTAGTGCACTTTCTTTTTCTTATTTTTTCTTTTATAAAAACTTACTCCGTATTAAATTATATTCATGCTTCACTCCTACGAATTTCAATATGCAAATCTAATGTAATATGATACTTTTGAAAATATACATTGATATGACATTTTTAAAATGAGCATAACAACAACACCAAATTAATGAGCATGCATAACTTACAAAATGAAAATTAGTATGAAAATCGTAAGTTTTGTTAGTTGAACAATAAAATATTGTAATTGAGCATCAAACCTCCTCCAATGAGTATTAGAACCATACAATTAAGTATCATGATTTGTGCTCCTGTGACTATAACTAACTCCTATGTGAATCTAAAGTAATATGATATTTCGAAATATAAATTGATATAACATTTTCAAATGAACATAACATCGATACCAAATAAACATACATAAGTACATAACTTACAAAATGAGTATCGAAAAAATTCGAAAACTCATTTGTGTATGTTCATCCTTTTAGGCGTTGTACTCATCTGAGTTATAGGTCACCTTCTCTCTTCTCTTGTTTGTTGGTCATCTTTAGTTTTTAGATGATGCCTTATGAGGGCGTTTACTTATATAGATGACACTCTCTACATTAAAATGCTTGAAGCTAAAGGTTACTCATCCGAGCCGATCTTATTCCAGGTTTGGCGTCCCCCAGCAGATCATATCCAGTAATGGAACTCAGTTTGAAGCAGCCATCTTCCAGCGACATGGGGAATAAAGCACAGCTTCTCCTCCGTCGCCTACCCCCAGAGAAATGGCCAAGTAGAGAACGAAAACAGAACAATGCTGGAGGGACTAAAGAAAAAGCTCGAAGCTGAATGAGGAGGATGGGTAGAAGAACTGTGTAACATCATATGGGCCTATCGAACCACCCCGCGAAGGGCAACAAGTGAAACCCCCTTCGCTCTGTGTTACGGATTCAAAGCGAAGGCACCTACTGAAGTCACCATTCCCACCAGACGAGTTGATCAATATGACACCGAGGCCAACAAAACCAATATGGCCCTCGACCTTCATCTCATCTTAGAGCGAAGGGAACAAGCCTTTTTTAGGGCGGAGAACTGTTGGCGCCAGGGGAAGAGGTACATCGACGTTAAGGTCCGATCCCGGGAGTTCCAGGTGGGGGACTACGTCTTACGAAGAAGGGAAACCAACCAACCAACCGAAGGCGGAAAATTGGCACTGAAGTTCGAAGGGCCCTGCATCATCACTGCCATTTTCAGAACAGGGACCTACAAGCTAAAACGTCCGAACGGGACTGAAATCCCTAGGCTATGGAATGTACATCACTTGATAAAGTTCTATCAGTGAGGCAATGCACGAGTGGCCAATCCCTCAGCCATCGCACACTGATACATATTAAGCCCTCGTCCATCGCACACTGATACGTACTGAGCCCCCGGCCTAAGGCCTTTTTGTGAATTAATGAGAAATTTGTTCCTACCTGTTTACTCCTATGAACACCTCGAACCACCTCACAAGAACCCTCGGCACCGAGTGCGCAGGGGTAAGCAACGAAGAAATACATGCACTAAGAAACACCAAGTGTTTTAGCCTCGAGACTCATAAATCTCGCAAAAATAAGTTCTCCCCTCGAGAGCGCACTAATTCAAAATGATGCCAAGTATCACATCAAGGGCTAAAGAGCCTTCGATCTAGAGGGGTACCAAGTACCCCCGGGCACTTTGTGTTGAGAACACGAACAAAACCCTTCCCAAAACGCTTTCTGCGCCATCCCTCAAAGGGAGACAGGACACGGACGATGTCCCGAGCCGAGGAAATGACTTTCAAAATCGAAACGCTTTCCGCGCCATCCCTCAAAGGGAGGGAGGCAACAGACGATGTCCCGGGCCGAGGAAATGAATTTCAAAACCGAGACACTTTTCCGCACCATCCTTCAAAGGGACGCAGGCAATGGACGATGTCTCGGGTCGAGGAAATGTCTCTCAAACCCCTTAGAATGCAGAAGGTTACCCCCGAGGGCTGAACCAACGGATTGCGTCGTTGGCTCCCAAGGGATCAAGTCCATCAAGGGACCAAGTTCTGACGCTACCATTGAGAACTCAAAAAAGGGAATGGAGCCGAGGGATCAACATCGATGTTGGAACTCAAGAAAAATATCCACCCCACGAGGAAACACTGGTGCAAAATTACCTTTTTGCGGCGCTTAAATCAACCAACGTGCGGCGCTTTCAGGCGCCGCACATCTCGGTGCCGCAATTTAACGCATGCGGCGCTTTTTGCATATAGGCGCCGCAAAATATTTTTTTAAATTAATAATTTAATACGTAACCGTGCGGCGCTTTTCTGTAAATAAGCGCCGCAAATATTTTTTTAAATTAATAATTTAATACGTAACCGTGCGGCGCTTTTCTGTAAATAAGCGCCGCAAATATTTTTTTAAATTAATAATTTAATACGTAACCGTGCGGCGCTTTTCTGTAAATAAGCGCCGCAAATATTTTTAAATAAATTAAATTATTTATTTATTTTAACTTTCGCGGCGCCTTACACAAATAAGCGCCGCAAGTTTCCAACATTTTTTAAAAATATTAAATCATATTTAGGATCTTTCAAAAACGTCCTGTAACAGAATTAACAAAATACAAAAAGTGTAAACTGTTTAAAGTCATCACAATATCAACAACATGAACTTCACAAATTACAAAATCAGCAAAGTGTAAGCAATTCAAGTAACCTACAGATTACAAAAATCTTCATAAAAATGATTTCAAAAAACACTTAACACAATACATAACCAATGTAATCAACTTTTACATATTTAAGAGTACATCCAAGAAAAATTGTGCCCATATATTGCGAATGTTATTAAACTCATCTTCAGAATATGCCTCAGTTCTTGAATACCAATCCTACAAATATTTAGATAAAATAAAACATAAATAAAAAATATTACAACTTTTAACTTAGAAAAAATTAAACGAAGTTAAAAAATAAGAATAAATAATGATATACCTTTCCAATATCAAAGCTATCAAAATACGAAATCACTTCCCATATGTATCGCATGGTATAATATCCGCATTCTGTGTTTCCATTTTGTCTGGCACACTTTTTTGAAATACAAATTTACAAAATATATGTATCAAAGTTAATGGTGATTGAAATAAGTTATTGATGAATTTACCTTAACATTATGCCATGTGATTGGCTTTCCATCACCATTTCTTGCGGAAGCAACTATGTATGCTCTACATTAAAAATTTTATGTTAAATGATATAAATAATAATAATAATAATAATAATCTATAGCAATTATTATAAATAAAAAATATTAAAAGAATACTTACAATGCTAGATCTTTCTGAATGCTGATATTAGAAAAGCTTGGGATTGAATTGAAGATATAGCCTTTATTAACTGAGGGGCAAATGACTATCAAAATCCAATGAAATCTAAAAAGAATTCTTTTTCTTAGTTCACAGGTAGCATACCGCTACTTTATTCTATTTGTTTTTACCGAAAATAAAATAAAACATTTTCAGCTTTAAAATGAGTTAAACATCATTATTTAGGAGACAGATCTAGTATTATGGAATCTAGCAATCAAATACATGAATTAGTTGATAATCCGCTACATTTCTTCTCTTTTTTCCAAACCAGCCAGAACTCAGGAATATGAAAAATTATACAAATGTTTGCTGAACTTTTATTTATCTATATTTTCATTTCACAGATCAACAATGGAAATTGGAAATTGTCTTTGTAGTCAAATGAGAGCATCTTTGAAGTGTTATTAATTGCATCTATGGGAACTTGGCTCACGTGCCCGGTTCGGAAGAACAACTTAGTATATCCAACTTGATACATATCAGGCAGAATTTTGAACTGATGGAGTATGGAAACTGAAACACTGAGTGGATCTTGTGGTGCAGCACGGTGCCACGGTCCAATAGAAGAAATCCATATCTGATGGCATTATTATGAAAGATGGTAAAACTAAAACTATAAATTTAATGACGAAAATCAAAATCTGTAAAAAAATACCTTCTAG